CACCCCACTCTCCCCCAGCTCCAACTCTGCTGCTTCCCCGGAACCAATTGCAACAAATTAAAAGCCATGCCGACGTGCCATTTTTTAGGTCCCCATTTTTCCATCAACACGCCCTCAATAGCAGCAGCACCCCTCTCCGCCACCCCCGCCTTTTCCCTGCCCTTCCCATCATTGCGAACATTTCGTAGAGAGACTTTGATCAATCATGAATGTCATCATCCACTGGCCCGTCACTGTTGCCCCCCCCCCCTCCTTCCTCTTTTTCTCCCTCTCTATCTTTCTCTCACTTTTTCACCGCTCCGCTGCTCCGCTCCTCCGCCCCCTGAACCCCCCTTTGCTTCCTCCCGCGCAGGATGTCTTTTGTCACAGACTGTTTGGCTCGTCCTTATTGGGTTCCCCTGCGCGCCTCATTCTTGTTAATAAGAATTATCGTCGCAATGACGGGCAAAAATATGGAGTTGGCTGCAATAAGTCTCTTGTCCTCCGCGCAACGGATCCCACAGCTGCCGTTGCCGCTGACGCTGGCGACGGGCGCCGCCCCAGTTATTATGTTTGAATCACGCGCCCCACCGCCCGGGCTGCCCGGGGGGGGGGGGGGGGCTGGCGCCTGTATGGGTAACGAACACGATGACAGCGACGTACGCAAAAGGCATCATTGAGTCTCCTGTTTATGACGAGTAAATTGATTGTGTCGGCAGGGACGGACTACCTCTGGCTGGCCACGCAGAGCGTCATCGGCAGCGCCATGGAGGCGCCGGACGAGTTCCCCGTCGGGATGCTGGGTGAGCTCAAGAGCAACACTAGGGATTTTGATTTCCATGTATATTGTTTGCGAAATTTTTCAAAGACGTAGTTTTTGTATAATCTCTTAAATTTTTTTCGGGAAGTCTCGTCCTTTCCCGTTCTTTCCACTTTTTCTGGAAATTTTTCCAATTGTTCGGGAAAAGACACGATTTTTTTCCCGGAACAATTTCAGCGAAGAGAGAGGGGAAGCATCACGCTTGTTGCGTGTCTTGTCGGCAGGTATCCACTTCCCCACGGACGCTGACGAGTTGCTGCAGCAGCTGTCGCGCGCGCTGCGCGTGTTCGCCACCGCCCTGGACCAGTTCGTGCGGGACGCGGCGCTGCCCGCCCCCGCCGCCCCCGGCGGCCCCCGCGGCGCACCCGCCCCCGCGCGCCACCCGCTGCTGCCGCGCCTGACCTGCGAGGGCGGCGCGGGCGAGACGCGCTGGTCCGGCGGCGAGCTCTTCTACCGGTGAGACGAGCCTCCTACTTGTTGAGCAGCGGGATCATACAACAACAACAAACAAACGGTGTGCGTGCAGCAGGTGCTCTGCCCGGCTCGGCCCGACTCTGGCCGCGCTGCTGTATGCAAAGTTATTTCGTTTGAAGTTCCCGAGTTTTCACTCCCTCTGCACGTCAGGGGAACGAGGTTTCCGAATGTCGCGCACTTTTGTAGGTAAATTTTATGTAAACCGCGACGAGTTCCTGTAAACAAGTGCTACGTACCTTCAAGAAAAAATAAAAAAAAAGTTAGCCCCGCGGGGCTTAGAAAGAGACAGTTCCCGACCAGGCAACGTACATCTTGTGGCGTGATGGCGCGTGGTCTGCCAAACACCCGCCGCCGCCTCCGCCCTGTGCTACATATAGGAAGAGGAAGAGGGAGGGGGGTGGACTTCTCCTTCTGGTAGAGACCGTCTTTAGGAGAATGTCTAAAAACAATACAGCTAAGTTTTGCTTTGAGGAGCATGTCTCAGCGGCCGTCTTCACCTCGCCCCGCCCGCAGCTCCCGCCGCGCCAGCGGACCGCACCCACTGCGACAGCGCCGCCGCCGTCGAGCCTTTTATGGCGATGGGGAAGGCCTGGGGGCTGCCGCTGCTGCGTGCTGCGGCGTGTAGTGTGGGCCATAGCCGGGCCATAGCCAGGCCATAGCAGGCCTCGGCCATTGGTTCTGCTTCCACTGATTTGACATCCAACCCTGCCGGGCCCGGCTAGGGCCGGGGCGCTCGCCCTCAGACCTGGCCGGGTCTGGCAGGCTGCCCCTTTTCTCCGGTTCGCCCTTACCGGACCGGCCCCTTCCTCCTCGAAGGTCCCCGCCATCCTCCCTCCCCCGCCCCACTTCCTTTTTACCCCCCTCTTGCTCCCGATGTTGAATATTCAAATGAAGGGTTGAAGGGTTCGTCCCGCCAGATCATAATATGGGTGCCCCCCCCCCCTCCTTGTCAATGGACTGGGGACTGATCTGGTTATGTAATTACACGAAGTGGCGAGCAGGAAACCACCGGGGCCGCCCGTGGCCGAGGCCGTGGCCGAGGTTGCTGTCGCCGGGCCCTTAAGACCTCCCGCCCTCTGATACCATCACCGTCGCTACCGCCCCCGGCCCGCCCCTGGCCGGCCGCGCCACCCCGCCCTAAGCGTCGCGGTTAATATCGATATCGAGGCCGGAAAGACCACCCTTCCTTTTTGTCTGACTGGACCTCGGGCACTGGGTCGGTGGGGGAGAGAGACTGCGCCGGATGTCCGCCACACGAGTGAGTATAACGGCCACCACGCACTTGGAGACGCGTTCCTCTGCGGCTGCGCGGGCTGCGCGGGCTGCGCGGGCGGCACCACGCCGAGGGGGCGTGCCACGGGGCGTGCCGCTGCCACACTGCTGCCGCCGCCGCTGCCGCTGCTGCCCCCGGGGCCCAGCGTTCGCCCAGCGTAGCGCGCCTAATTCGTTTTGCGCTGCTCTCTCCAGGACTCCGTCAGGACTCCAGTGTTCCGGCGCTTTGATTGCCGCCCAGCCCCGCGGGGACGCGCAGACAGAGTCCCGGGGCTTTTCATCACGAAAGAACTCAATGCGACACACAGGGCCCTCCTGGGTCTGCTGCTGCTGCCGCTGCTGTTGCTGCTGCACGGCAACAACTAGGCGGGCGGCTTCCGCGACAGATGTCTTCCTTTTCCCCACTCTGCTCCGTCATCGCGGTGGGGGGATGGCAGCATAGCAGTCCTGTGCGCCGTGCTCCTCGGGGTGCGGTCTAAGCCGGGGCAGGGGGAGGGGGGAGGGGGGGTCGTTTCTCGCGTACCGCTGGTGATGAAGGGGCGCGAGGGCGAGGACCACCCTCACGATGTGTGCGTGTGTCCCGCTCCCCGGAGCACACCTGCCCTCGAGCGGCCCTATACTTTCCTCTTCCATCGGGAGAGCATCGGCCGTGGGCGAATAAGGCGATAGGTAGCGCGTTGTTGTTGTTGTTTTCTGGTCTTATCCTTGAGCCGACAAGCAGCTAGCTGGGGCCAGCCGGCCGGCTCTGCCACTCCCCGCCACATACAACCGCCGCGGGGGTGTTTCTTCCTGATTGGACCCCGGCCCCTCCCATCCCCTCCCCTCGCCTAGACGTCACCCCCTTGCCTCTTTCACGACCCGGCCCACTATATTCCTACCACTCTAGCACCCCCATTCCCCCACCTCGCCCACTGCTCCCACCTCCTTGCTCCCCCGGCCTGCTGCTGCTGCTGCTGCTGCTGCTGCTGCCGATGTGGATTTTAGAACCGTTGAGGCGCGAGCAAGTCGAGGGGCGCCGTTCCAGTGGGACCATTTAATTCCCACCCACCCACCCCCCTCTCTTCTCTCTCTCTCCCCGCAGCGTCTGAACAGAGCGCCCCGCCCACTCCCCCATGCCACCACCGTACTGTGTGGGGACAGAGTGTGCCTCGAGTCGAGTGTGTCGACGGGTACGATCTACAACAGGTGAGCCCGCGCGGGGTGTTCCCGGGGTGTCCCCCTTGTGGGCCGTGGCGTGCCTCGGGTGCTCGTGGCCCTGGGGGATGTTCCCGGTGGCCCCGAGTGACTGCCGGTGTGGCTGGCCCGGGCCGTTCTGTTTTCCGCTCGGTCGGGCGTTGCCAATTGCCCGCAGCCGTCTCCAGCTGCGTCGCGCCTCCCGGCCGCCCCAAACCCTCTTGCTACTCCCCCTCCTCCTCCTCCCTCGCCTCCCCCTCCTTCTCCTCATCCCCCTCCTCGCGCTCCACATCCCTCCCTCCGCGAGCGCAGAGCCGCAAGCGCCTCCCCGTCGTCGAGGCTCGCGGCGTTGGGCGCCGTTCGTGTTATACTGCATCACGTCCGCGCGGCTGCACCGCTCGCCGGCGGCCCTCGAGTACTACTACTTGCAGCCCCGTGCTGGAGCTCCACTTCACTGTACTGTACTCACTGCTCGCGGGGCGGGGAGCATGCGTAAAAGAAATGGACCATCAGCGGCGTGAG